TATAACAATTTAAATGATATAATAACTAATATACAAGTAGTTTCACATAGCTATAACAACCGCAAGCATAAATTATAAAAAAAAATAAAAAAATGAAACGTTTTTGACGTGAAACGTATTAAATAAAATATTGATCTTCGTCAATATATAATAACAAAAAGTCTAAAGCAACTTTAAAAAATATCGTATGTTCAATTGATTATCAACTAAACTGTTAAACATAATATCAGCGTTGAAACTAAGATAAGTTTTAATATCGTTGGGATATCATTATAAAAAATTATTAAACTATGTAATACTTGCCTTTTGTTATCTATGAGCAAGAAATAATAATATACGGTATCCGTTCACTACACAACTGTCACAGTGCAGCCGGCCACTACAATCCAGTAACGGTATAATACTGCTTGTCATTTACTTTCTACGCAACGTTAAACTCAGGAAACGCTTTGAAACAGGTCTCTAATAAATTTAAAACTCTACTAAAAGTACAAAAATATAAAGCATAAGCGTTATAATGGAAATAAATGGAAAAACATAGTAGTAACATTTAAAATAGCTCAAAGCTTTATATTTAAAATAAAAGTAATAAAATTTTCTACATTAATCAAATCAATTAAAAAACATATTTATTGTTGAAAAAATGTGTACTAAAAATATGATTATTAAGTTGTCGCATTGTTGGGAATTTTCTCATTCATTATCTATCTATTCACTATTTAATAACTGTATGTAAGTTAGAAATACGAGTAGTATTCAAACTAGATTTTAGCGTTTCGCTCTCACATAAAATACGAGTATACCTATAATTCCGTTATTTGTTTTAATGTGCCACAACGGCATAAATTTTCGAGATTTTGACCGAATTCGATAAATATTAGGAGCATATTCATCCTATACAGAGCGGTTAGAAAAAATGAAAATTTATACATTTATTTTAGGTATTTTTATACCTCTTTTTTGGCTATAGAAAATCGAAAAATCATCTGATTGACCTTGTATGGAAGATAGGATATATATATATATATATATCCTATCTTCCATACAAGGTATTGCATGGGGAGGCCTATCGTCGTGGCTTTGATAGGATGTAATCAATAAATTAAAAAATGAACGAAACGTCTAATGAGTATATAAGATTCGTACTTCTTAATTTTTAATTTAAATTCAAATATTTTATATACATACCAGCTGACATGGAAGACGTTGTTCCGACCAAGCCGTTAGGTGGCGCAATGTGTTTCACTCCGGACTTTTTTAATCATAAAATTTATTAATAACTAAAACAGTGTCAACCATTGATTTCAGAACTTTTGGTTTTCTTTTTCCGGACTAAACATTGTAATTTTAATTCCTAAATAATAAATTAATTACAACGCCACCTATCAAATCCTATTGTAGGTAAATATACCGTGTGAATCTAACCTTAGAATTTACACAGTCACTAACAGACACACCAACTTTTATAATATTCATTAAGGTAGGAAGTAACTTCTTTTCTCTTCGCAAAGCTGCGCAAATGGCGCTACCGAGAGCACGTGGCAGCTTTGCTGTTGCACGTATGGGCCGGCTCAAACCGGGATGGTACCACGACCTCACAGAATACTGGCGTGAGGTGGAAGCTCTCCTTCTGCGTATCGTCTGGTAAGTGTAGGTGGCTGAAGGCCCAATCCCCCCCCCCCCCCCCCCCCTAACACCTTAACATAGTAGCGGAATTAAGTGAAGATCTACCCAAAGAGGTACCAGCACCCCTGGATATACCCTAGCTAAGCATCCACGACTAAATTACTCCACTCCTGAGCGTGGGTGTTCAGGCTGCCCCGCGTATTCTCGGGGAGGGGGGGGGGGCGAAATCCCTCTCAAGACAATAACTGCTCGGGGCAAGCGGAGCAACGAGACCAAGGCGATCCCTGCCACGCTGTCCGTGAATTTCTGCAATATCAGGGGACTATATTCTAACCTAAACGCCGTCCAATATCATCTCGAGACGGCGAGGCCGGCTCTGCTCTTTCTGACCGAGACGCAGGTGTCCTCTCCCGCTGATGCTTCGTATCTCTCCTATAAACTGGAACACCCCTTTATGCCTTGGGTTGGAGTTTGCGTTTACGTCAGAGAGGACATCTGTTCTCGACGCCTCGGCAGTCTTGAAGGTTCGGACCTGTCCATCCTTTGGCTACGCGTAGACAGCAACGACCATCCGCGCGTCTACGGGTGCGTCTATAGGTCCCAAAGCGGTTATGCCAAAACAGACCGACTCTTCGACCACGTCCAAATGGCTACAGATTCGTTGCTACATCAGATCCCTTCCGCAGAGATCGTGATCCTCGGCGATTTTAACGCCCACCACGCCGAATTGCTTGTTTCACCTTCCCTGTTGGCCCTTCTGCTGACCTCTCATCCGAACGGATATCAGATTTATGTCGGCACCCCTTTAGGCTCCTCGGACCATTGTGAGTTGTCCGGAGTGTGGTGCCACTCACGCTGAAATCGAGGTTGCATTCTGCAGGCTGCTGACGTGTTTGGCACTATAGGTCAGCTGATTGGGATAGGATGCGGTCTTTCTTTGTATCCTACCCTTGTGGGCTGGTTTGCTTCTCGCCAGATGTTCACAGCGTTGTTGCTGATTCTGTCGCTGATGTGGTACTTCAGGGTATGGAATTTTTCCTATATTCCTTCGTATGTGGTGCCCATCGGAGGCAAATCTCAGCCATGGTTTGGTCGCAACTGTAAAATAGCATCATGCCATACGCATGAGTGCTATTAAGCCTGGGCTGACGCATCAACGTCCCGGGATGTAAACACCAGCGCCCTAAAAAGAAGTTTAATTCAGCTTTCGGGTCCTTTAAAAGAATTATTGCCAAGGCAAAGTCAGAGTACATAGGCAAAATTGGCGAGAAACGAGTTCGCCTTCCTCCTGGATCCCGTTCATTCTGGTCTCTTGCCAAGGCTGTCCAAGGGAATTTCTGTCACCCATCTCCTCCATCTCTGCACAGGCAGGACGACTCACTGGCCCATGCCGCAAAGGAGAAAGCCGATCTCTTTGCGTACAACTCGACTCTCGATGGCACCGGTCTTAACGCGCCTTTTCTGGTGCTCCTACTCCCTAAGCGTAGTCTCAAAATCATGGAAGATGGCTTTCGATCACCCGATCCCTAAACAAGGCGACCGCTCAGACTCGTCTAACTACAGGCCCATCGCTATCACCTCCTTGTTCTCCAAAACAACAGAGTCTATTGTGCACTGCTAGCTCATGAGAAACCTTGAGGATCACCAGCTGATTAGTGATCGCCGAAACGGTTTTCGTCGTGGTCGATCAGGTGGTGATCTTCTGATCTACCTAACTCATAGATAGGCGACAGCAGTAGAGTCCAAGGGGGAGGCGTTGGCCGTTAGTATAGGCGTTGCGAAGGCCTTCGATCGGGTTTGACATAAAGCGCTTCTTTCGAACCTCCCTTCCTATGGGCTTCCCGAGAAATTGTGCAACTGGATCACCAGCTTTCTTGCAGATCGGAATATCAAAGTCGTTGTAGATGGTGCAAGCTCCGATTACAAGCCTATTAATGCTGGTGTTCCACAAGGCTGCGTGCTATCACCAACGCTGTTTCTTCTGCACATAAATGATGTGTTGCAAACCAGCAACATTCATTGCTATGCAGATGACAGTACTGGTGATGCTCTGTACACCGGCCGTGCCAAAAATTTCGGGAAAACGACCCCGAGTACCAGGACGAACTTGTGTCTGAAGTTGAATCTTTTCTGAACAAAGTCTCGGATTGGGAGCGACTAAATCTAGTCCAATTTAACCCTCAAAAGACACAAGTTTGCGCGTTAACCGCTAAAAAACCCTTTGTGTATATCCTCAGTTTCAAGGCACTCCCTTTGTTGCCTCAGCTAGTATCGGAATCCTCGGCGTCGACATATCGAGAGGCGTGCAGTTTCGTGATCACTTGGAAGCGAAGGCCAAATTGGCCTTTATAAAGCTTGGCGTGCTCAGCAGTGCGGGTTAGTACTTCATGCCGGCATACCACCTGAACTTTAAAAGGCGCAGGTTTAGCCCCATACGGAATACTGTTTCCATCTCTGGCCTGGGGCTCCCCAGTTCCAGCTCCTTCCATTTGACCGCATCCAGCGCAGAGCGTCTTGAATCATCGACGATCGAGTGCTTTTTGATCAGCTCGATTCACTGACGCTGCTAAGAGATGTTTCATCACTTTGCGTATTTTATCGCATCTGTCACGGGTAGTGCTCTGAGGAAGTTCGGATTAATCCCAACCATCAAATTTCATAAACGCACTGCGCGGTAAACCTCCCGATACCATCCACACCATCTGGATGCTTGGTGGTGGTCGCTACCATGCTATTTCTAAATATTTTCATATTTATCTGTTATTATAATGTAAATATTAATGTTAAAAAATGTCCCGCTAGATTTCTTGCTGGTTCTTCCCGGGACAAAAGTTTTTTTCGAACCAGTGCTCAAAGCATAAATGAATTTTAAAAAGTGTTCTTGTAATCGAATTTATTATATTCTATTTTTCTTTTAAGTTCGAGTTCTCTTTGAATCTAAAAAAGAGGTGCGAGGGTAACAACTCAATGTCAATTCGTTTCTTATGTGATGATCCTTATAGAACATCACGATTTCTTGCCACTAGTACTTAGTACTATTATCTATTCTATGCCACTGAATACATTCATTAGTCACCGTTATTTATGTTAAAGTGATTTTAACATAAAATTTAAAATCTATTCCTTCTATGAAAATAATTTATAGGAAAAAGAAAATAATCAAAACTATATAATTATATTTATTTACAAATATTACACACAAATTATAAAAATCAAGTACTAAAACACATCCAAACCTTACCAAGGCCTTTAAAGTGTTTTCTTACTAATCATTTTTCTTCCGTGTATAAGATAATTTAACTGCCATTGCAAGAAGTAAAAACATATTTTTAATGATAAAAAAATGGCTAAAATTATAGGGAAATAAATAGTACCAAATGTTTTCGTAAGAATAGGGTAGATCCAAATGCCTCGCTCTATGTATGTGTATGTTAACCTGAAAAAGAAATAGTCTATTATCATCACAATTATCAATTCGATAATAGTTAAAACCGAACTTAATAATGTCGTGCTGGATTTTTTGTTGTTCTTTCCCCAGACAGAGATTTTTCCAACTCTTTTTCTTATTAGATTGGCTTAGCTTATTAAACTTACTCGACAACAACTTCGAGCGTAGAGTTCCCAACAACAAGCAAAAAATGGAACGAAAAAATGAAAATTGAAAAAACATGTAATAAACTTATACTATTATATTAGCCCTTGAAATTAAATCGCAAGGCATTTTTAAAAGTGCAGATATTCATTACTCTGGATAGTGAGAGCGTAACATACACAGTCTGTTCAAAAAGTATCGCGAATTTCGTATTTTTCGAAAAAGTATTTATTTATTCATGAATATCTATTTTGCCTCCATCAAAGTAATCCTCCTCGGATATATTGCACTTGTTGTGCCAACGTTTTTTGCAATCCTCGAAGCACTTAAAAAAATCATTTTTCGTGATCTTCTTCAGTTCCTCCTTCGATGCCGTCTTTATCTCCTCAATCGTGGCGTAGCGTCGTCCTTTCATGAGCCCTTTCAGTTTTGGGAACAGGAAAAAGTCACAGGGGGCCATGTCTGAGGAATGCGGTGGCTGTGGGACCATTACTGTGTTATTTTTGGATAAATATTCGCACACAAGCAACGATGTGTGAGCAAGGGCGTTATCATGGTGCAAAAGTCAGTTTTGGTTCATCCACAAATCCGGGTATTTCTGGCGGTTTGCTTCGCGCAAATTGCGCATAACTTGCAGGTAATATTTTTTATTGACCGTACTATCTTGTGGCAAGAACTCATGATACACCACGCCCCTGCAATCGAAGAAAACTGTGAGCAAAACCTTCACGTTTCACCAAACATAGCGTGCTTTTTTCGGTCTTTGCTCATGCGGCAGCTTCCATTGGGATGATTGAGCTTTGGTTTCCACGTCATAACCATAAACCCATGATTTGTCACTAGTTATAACCCTCTGGATCACATTTGGGTAGTCACGGACCGAGTCCAACATCTCCTGAGCAATGTTAACGCGATGCTGTTTTGGTCGAAATTGCGCAATTTTGGCACGAATTTCGCGGTGACCCGACTCATGCCCAAATCATTACTTACAATCGAATGGTACGAATCAATCGATATGTTTGGGTCCTCAGCAACTTCTCTAACGGTGATTCGACGATTGACCAATAATATTTTCTTCAGTTTATCAATGTTATCGTCTGTTATTGACGTGCTCGGCACGCTGTTCATCGTTCACATCTTCTCGGCCCTCTGAGAACATTTTGTACCACCGATAAACGTTGCTTTTCCAACCTGCTACAGTCAACATTTGGAATGCGTCGGCGCACTTGTTTTCCACACAAAATTTAATACAGATTCTTTGATCCATTTTTTGGAATAGGCAAAAATCGAAGACGAGCCAAAACACATCCAAGCAAAACAGCTGTCAAAAATTAACTAAACATTCAAACTAGCAGACCTTATCAGCATAAGTAAGGGACATGAGTACCAACATAAAACTACAAAAAAAATCAAAAATCAAATATACGTAGCCCGCGGAAATTCAAACTTCGCGATACTTTTTGAACAGACCTCGTATAAATGTAGTTCTCTATCACTGGTCTCTGCACTAGCATTTTTCAACGATTATTACCAGAACTTTCAGATTTTCTTTTGTGATACCACACATCCAGAATGATTTGGTGGGTTCTCTTAGGCCTCCTAGAAACCGTATAATTTCGGTATGTTTTTATAGCAACACCATCTATTAAACGCCATTACTCTTTTGGTGTCTACGTATTTGTAGTCAGGTTGCTCGTTTTCGTTCGTTTTTGTGATTGATATCCAGCCACTGCTCTAAAATAAATAAGTACCCCAAATTAAAGAGGTAGCTAAGAGCTAATTTGCTTTATACTAACGCTTTCTACTCCTTGAATTTTATATAACTATTTACTGTCGTGTATATAAAAACGAACTACGAATATATATATACTGTGTACCTGTCAATAGTGATTAAATGTTATCTTAAATGTATACGCCGTGCATGACCTATACATGTTGTATCACACACACACTATCTCACTGTAACTGATGACCCCATTATAAGAACATGAAAATTAAAACGAGTAATAGCAGTGATTGCACGAAAACAGTTAGATCACGCCACGATTCCAACGTCACTATACTACTATATGCTCTATGCTAATAAATAAAGCAAAAAAGTGAAATAATATTATAGCGCCTGTCTTTACTACTGATTACAATGTGTCTTTCAGTAAATAGGATTTTGTCTCTCTTAGTCAGTGCGCTCTACCATCTTCGCTAAATCAACACTTATTATCAATTTGTATAGTAGCCAGGCGCTTTGTTACAGTAAGTAAAAGGCGTACGATATTTATGAAAGAGAGTGATTATTGTTTATACGCTGCTATCTTAAGACAAATATTGTATAAAATATTTCCTGGGTTTCATACAAACTATACCTACACTAGAAAGTATAAGAAAATGTGAAACAACACGTGTAACACATTCCTCAAATGTGACTTTGGCTCGCTCCTTGGTCGAAAAACAACTTCCCATAAAACGACTGGAACTATAGCCGTATGTATAACATGGTTTGATGTCCAGCTCAGCACTTTGTCGAAAACTTCTGGGAGAATTAAATCTCTATCATAGAGAAATAAGGACCAGAATACTGTACACACCAACTGAAATACAGATGAATCAAATTAAATTAAATATTTCCTAACATAAATTTTCTAAATACAAGGGTATAAAACACGAAATTAAGTCTTTAAACTTAACACTTATTACAAAAAGTATTTTAGAAAGAAAGAAAGAAAGAACCATTTATTTGATAATCACACTATACACACAATTTTTGAAATTTAAATATAAATTACAATGGACAAAGATATGATTGCGCAGGTGTAAGACTGCTTACGCATTAAAAATTATTTAATAAGCAGAAAATGCATGATGTTAGTTAATAATGAAACAAAAAAATAAAAAAAGAATTTAAAGACAAAATGTGACATCAAATAGGTCTCCAACTCAGCATAATGCTGCAGAGGCAGCGCTGGTTTTCAATTGAAACCTTGTGACTTCACTGACGAATCGGTGTGTGAACCTCGAATTACGCGTAACTACAACTTATAGACTAATAGTAATTAGGCAGTGGGTTAAAGAGTAGTGCTAACGTACACAGTTAACACAGACATACTGTATTAATATGAATATAAATGGTGTGTAGTACATACACTATACCTATACTTACATAATATAACATATTTGGTTCTATGGGGAAGACAAAGCAAAGTATTTTAGTACATTTTTTTAGAAAATAAAAAGTAAGATTAAAAATAAATAAACAATAAAAGATCATTCATCATATATGTAACAGAAATAAACAATAATCAATAATATTTGAACATGGTGTAAAACAGTATAAATATTATTACTATTTTGCGTTCTAAACGTAATTATATTACGTATTTAGAACTTGTTGTGCTAAGTAATAGAACTTTAGTTTGTTTTTAAAACTATTCAGTGATTTTAGGGAACGAATAGGTGGTGGTACATCATTCCAACAGAGGGTTGCTGCAAATTTGAAACTACCTCGAAGCCTTTACCAGCTGTGCGGTATCGAGTTGTTACAAGGGAATGAACAGAAGCTCTTGTATTATATTTATTTTGATCTCAGGCCCACTTCAGCTTTTGAAACAGGTATACTGGTTGCTGTTTTGTTATTGTTGAGAATAGTATAGTAGCAAGGTGTAATTTTCTCTGGGCACTCATTTTTAACAGATTAGCATTGTTTAAATAAGGCGTTACATGACTTCGAGGCGGGACAGTGAAACAAAACAGAGTGCACGCATTTTGCACCCGCTGTATGAGCTTCTCTGACCTTCTCAACAGTCGTGGTACATAGACTGCATCTACATAATTTAACTTAGACAGTATTAATGACTCACACAATCTTATCCGCATATCTTCACTGAGGTATTGCCGAACTTTATGCAACTTCAAACGGTAAAAGCAACTGCGCACTCTCTCAAGTACATGACTTTCAAATCGCAAACTAGAATCAAATAATACACCTAAATTTCTTGCCTCAGAGATTTGCTGTATGGGTTCATTATCAATTATAACTAAGGGCTGAAGAATTGATATATTTTTAATATTTTTATTTGTTCCTAGAATTAAAAATTTTGTATTTTGTGGATTTAGCACAAGAAAATTTTGCTTGGACCATAACGAGATACGTTTGAGATCTTCACAAGTCATCTGCATATAAGTGATACTCACAATTTTTGATACAGTTAGTGATGTCTGAACTATATAAAATAAATAAAATAGGACCCAGGATAGATCCCTGTGGGACACCGCGAGAAACTAAGTATGGTTTAGAAATAAGTATTGTGCCATCATGTTTTGTTATACTAACATATTGCAATCTATGTTTTAAGTAACTATGAAATCGTTGAACTGTGCAAGCATCAAATCCATAGAAAGATAACTTAGACAGAAGAAGAGGACAATTTATGGAGTCAAAAAATCGTGAGAAATCTAAAAGACTAAGTATTGTCCCCATTCCCTTAACCTGAGCTGTTAGTATATTATCAACAAAATCAATTATCGCTGTTGTGGTGCTATGGTGTTTACGAAAACCTGACTGTGCTAAAGGTAAGATTTTGTGTACCTCTAAGTATTCGGTTAACTGAACGTAGACCACTTTTTCTAATACCTTAGATAAACAAGGCAAGATGCTTATGGGGCGTCGATCTTTTAAACAGGTTGTCTGTTTTTTCTTCGGGATGGGCTTTACCACAGCTATTTTCCATTGATCAGGGAAGGTAGAGGTGGTAATAGATTTATTCACAATAGCTGTGATAACTTTCAATATATGTGGCAGTGTCATAAGTAACATATCAAGTGTTATCTGATCCACACCTTGGGCGTTAGATTTCAAACTCTGAATTATAGATAGAAAGATAGATAGAAAATTCTTTATTGCACTCAAACAAAACAATTTGGTACAAAGGCGAACTTAATGCCGAAAAGGCATTCTCTGCCAGCTAACCTTTTGTAGTGTGGTGAGAGCTATGGGTAGAGCCGCGAGAGAAAGAAAAACTAACTTATTTATTCATACTATTCAAAACGCATTATATAATATTATGTATACGTTAGTTTATACATATATACACTTATACACATACATACATATATATACATATATATATATGTATATATATATATATATATATATATATATATATATATATATATCATAATGATGATGAATGATATACATGCATACATATATATTTAAATAAAATATATACTAAACCAATAAAGCATACAATATAGTATACGAAATTATAATAAACATAATCAATAAAATTAATCAAGTAATTTTAAATAATATGCCTCAAGCTCACGTTTAAATGTATTTATTGAAGGAGCATCTTTTAAATCTCGTGGAAGGTTATTCCAAAGTGTAATTGATGATACCGTGAAGGAATCCGAGTAGTATGCAGATTTATGCATCGGGATAGTTAGAGTTTTGTTGGTCATCGAACGGGATAAGCTTAAATATGAAAAACGCTCTTTTAGATAAACTGGGGAACAAGGATTGTGAAGAATACCATACAAAGTGGTTAGAAGGTATGTGTTCCGGTGAAAACGGATGTCGAGCCACTTAAGTCTTGAGCGAAATTGTGATATATGATCAAACTTGCGCAGGCCAAAAATATAGCGTATGCACAGATTGAGCAGACGGTCGAGTTTGCTAAGCAGCTCCTCAGTTATATCTGGATAGGCAATATCGGCATAATCAAAGAGAAAAAAAATAGGAAGCAACAGAGAGTTGACTAGCGTAACCTTGGCCGTCTGAGGAATAAATTTTTGCCAGAGCTTTAATGAATGCATAGTTCCAAAAATACGTCTCCTGACCTCATTAAACTGTAGCACCCAACTTAGATCGTCAGTCAAAATTAAGCCAAGGTTCTTAACCTGCCTAACATATTCTAAATCTACACCGTTTAGAGTGACCTTAGGTAGGTATTGATAGTCAAGTCGACATGTAATTTTTCTGCTCCCTATGATTATAACCTTAGTTTTGGCAGGATTTAATATTAGCCCGTGACATCTTGCCCACTGATGAACTGCAGCAAGATCAGAATTCATTCTGTCAACAGATGAATTTAGGTCATTTAAACTAAAATGCTGATACAGCTGGACATTATCTGCGTACAGGTGATACTTGCTGAAATTTATTACGGAAACAAGTGCATTGATAAACACAGAAAAAGCAACGAAGATAAAACACCGCCTTGAGGAACATCAGCAACAACGTTACACCAATCGGAGAACTTATCATCAACACGTATGCGTTGCCGGCGTCCCCGAAGATAGGAACTGAACCATTGTAGAACTGACGATGTTAAATTCAGGGATTTCAAAATTGCTAACAGGATGTCATAGTCAACACAGTTAAAGGCGTTACTGAAGTCCAGAAGGACAAGAAGAGTGAGTTGACGATTATCCATCGCGAAGCGGATATCATCAGTTATTTTAATTAAGGCCGTGGAAGTACTGTGCAGAGATCGGAAACAGACTGATAAGGATTAAAGAGGTTATGTTTGTTTAGAAATTTTGAGAGTTGGCCATGAACAACCTTTTCAAGAATTTTGGAGAAGAAGGAGAGGATCGCTTTTGACTGTTGAGTCCAAAGCGATACTATTAAAGATATCACTGGTAAAGAGCAAAAGTGTTTGTTGAGCGCTGTTAAATCAAGGGACTGACTAACATTCTGTTTGCTTTTACCAAAGCCTAGGCTGCGCAAAACCTTCCATAAATTCTGGGTTGTGCAAGTCTCAATAGTATTGTGAATATGTCGACGTTTGGCATTTCGTATCACCTGGTTGCAGCGATTTTGTGCTTTTTAAAATCTTTCCCAGTTCTCATCACTGGGCGAACGTTTATGTTTTCCTTTAAGGCGGTCCCTACGTGCCATAAGAGATCGAATATATGGCGTTAACCAAGGTGCTGGTGCCCGTTTCATTTTTACTGGTCTTAAAGGCGCTACTTTGTCATAAGCTTTTGTTATAATGTTATTTAGTAACTGCAGTTTATTCTCAATATTATTAGTGTTATAAAAGTCTGCCCAATTAGCATTGCGTATCTCATAACTTAATAGCCGGCGATTCATACGTCACAGTGACCGAGTGAAGCCGGCCACAGTCGAGCGTGTACCTGCTGTACTACCATATGTCAGAGGAGTCACAGACAAGGTTGGCTACATCTTGAAGCCAGCTTCTATTAAAACATACTACAAGCCGCCGAAGAAGATTAGTCAATTTTTACTATCCGTCAAGTGTAGGAGTGTACAAGTTAGATTGTGAATGTGGTCTCTCTTACATAGGTCAAACAAAAAGATCCATAAAAACCCGTGTGAAAGGACATATAGCTGACGTGAAGCACCGACGCTCCGGGAAGTCTGCAGTCTGCGAACATGTTCAAGATCGTCCCCACCATTACATTCGTTTTGATAAACCACAAATTCTCGCAAAAGAACACCGATTCCTACCAAGGATGATACGCGAGGCTAATTGAAATTAAAAAACATCCAAATTTCAATAGAGAAGATGGATGGGTGCTGCCACCTGCTTGGGATCCTATAATTAACAAAATTAAACCCAAACCTAAGCATACCACTGCAAGACTTCATGATACTATAAGCTCGTTTTGCGTAAATCGGACCAAAAATTAATATTCAAAAACTGAAGGTAGCCGGACTAACTATGACATTGGGATGTCAAACATCTCAGTCCCCCCCCGTGACCATGGTTGCTGTAAAGCACCCGAAACGTCGGGAATTAAAAATAAGTAAAAGTAGTAAATAAATGCAATAAAATCCGTAAATTTAGTTTTATTCAAATAGAGAAAAAGAAAAAGTTAATATATAAAGAGACTAATTTTACAACTTTTTTCCAGGTTTAAACCGTTGTTTGGAGGCCACAGCTTTGGAAGTTTCTGAATTACTCACAGGATATTCAGCCAGTTGGTCTAGAGAAACAATACGTACCTTGCTTCCATTACAGAGCTTTAGATATATGTTACCATCTTGTGTCCAACACCTGTGCATACCATGTAGGCGTCGAGCTTCTTTGAAAACTTCTCTTCTATGAGGTGTAAGAAATTCAGCGATAGAAGTATTACTTCCTTTCAAAGAAAGCTTAGCACGCCAGACTTCTTGACGAATGGTATAAACTGTAAACTTTACTTTTTGGGAAAAAACACAACAGCAAATGCACGAGGATTTGCTGTTGTGTTTTTCCCAAACGATAACATGAATGAATCTGAGTTGATCTAAATGTATGTATTTTTAATTTTGATGTCACCAGATTTACAACAGTGTCAATGCAGTTTTCTGTATCAGACTCTTCAATGCCTCGAATTAAAAGAAATTTACGCCTGCTCCTGTTGTCAATGTCATCAGTCAATAGTGTAAGGGACTGAACTTGCTTTTTTAAGATCTCCAGCGCAGTCTTCATAGTCTCTTTGAACATAATAAAATCATTGGTGAGAGAAGTGATATTAGGTTGAGAACTTTCCAACCGGGCTTGAAAAGAAGACATACACTCTTCAAACTTTTTTTCAAGTGTTTTGACAGCATCTTCCGGTTTAGTTTTTTCAAGATTTCTTCTTCCAGCCATAGTGCAGTGTTGAAGTGTAGTACTGAAGAATAGTATTTGTAGCAGATGCGGTGCAAACTAATACATGTGCTATGGTATATTAGTCAAGATTGATGAATAAGTTTTAATGGATTTTATTAGAAAATATACCTAAAACTTCTAAGTTTTACTATTTTAATTATTTATCAAAACAAGACCCAAAAAAATATGTTGTCACTGCTTGTGCACCTACCCCCGAAAAAAAAATGATGAATTATTTTATCTATTTGGTCCTCATTTGTTATATTTAAAAGGAAAATACCTGGCCCATATTTGTTAAACTCATAGAAAGTAAGTTTTGAAAGGTCTATATTATCATCACCAGGAATATTCAAAAAATGTTTATTTATTATATCAGGATCATTACAATGATCTGGCAAATTTATCTCAGCCTGTTCCTTAGTAATAATATAACCTTTTATACTTTTCCATAGAGCTTTAGGGTTATTTAAGTTTTAATTAATATACGTTGCAAAATAATCTCAGCAAATTTATCTCAGCCTGTTTCTTAGTAATAATATTACCTTTTATACTTTTCCATAGAGCTTTAGGGTTATTTAAATTTTTTATTAATATACGTTGCAAAATATGCTCTCTTTTCAAAATGAACAGCATTAGTCAAAAGGTTTTTTAAATCTTTATAGGAATTATAATATTTATCTAGTTTAGTTTTCTTATACCGCATGTCGGCGCACGTCATCGCGCCTCGGCCAACATGATGGACGCATTGGAGCGCGGACCGGTCGCTGCCCTCGCGGCAGCGCGAGCGCTTCTGTACCTCACTCAGCGGCGAGACGCGGTAGCAGACGGGCACTTTATTTTTCAATTTATAATATGTTTGTTTAGAGGTTTTACGGCATTAAACCTATTGTTAATACAGTCCACACATTTTATTTCTTAAGTCCCGTTTAGGCCTTAAACATATGGTCCTTCGATCGCGCAAAACATTTACCAGTTTTTGCCGTAATTACGGTGACGAGGTCAACGGCCGCCGAGCGCAATTAGAATCCGCTGCCACGTATATTGAAGAAGGAAGTCGTTCCGTAGCAGCCTGCGTAGTCATTGAAGACGCTGATGTCATCCTGGGAGTATAAAAACCGTATTTGAGTGAGTTCGTTTCAATTAGTTATTTTCCCGCTTTCTTTTCATGCCAAAAAAATCTTTTTTTACATCTTTCATTGGCTAAGTACACTTACTTTTAATAAGTAGGTACCTAATTAACTTCAGTGCTTTAAAAATTGCTTTGTCGTTGCAACGCTCGCTTGTTTAAATTTAAATGTTTATTCCGTTACAAATATGAAGCGCTCAAGTGTCGATTTGTTGACCTTGGCACTGATTCATATTTTTACCTGCGCGCAACGATCCCTTTTGTTCTCGCACAGCTGTAGTTTTTTTTCCTAAAGTAATCAACGTTTTCTTTTTTGCTGTGTTCATACAAAAGTAAAATGGCAGATAATTTAAAAACTTTATTGAAGAAGCGTGGTTCGATAAAATCAAAACTTACAATTTACAGCAATTATTTAAATTTAATTAAAAGTAGCTCTGATATTTCTGAATTGCAACGTCTAGACTTAACGGAGCGTTTTAATAAATTCGAAACCTTACATTCCGAATTTGACGAATTACAGACAAACATCGAAGTACTTGCCGATGATGCCGGGTCTGCGTTAGCTGAGCGTGAGGACTTTGACCGTCAGTTCTTCAATCTGGTGGCCATCACGCGCAGCCTGCTCCGTGCTTCGTCCAATGGTGCTGGGTCGGAGACGGGTTTCAAAGTTGCTGACTCAGGTGCACACTGTTCTAATAAGAATAGTTTTGTTCGTTTGCCTAAAATTGATTTGCCACATTTCGATGGGAACTACCAATGCTGGCTCGAATTCCGATATACGTTTACGTCATTAATTCAAGATAACTCTAGTATCAATGAAATAAACAAGTTCCACTATTTGCGCGCTTCATTGCATGGAAACGCAGACTTAGTTATTAAAAATATTGATTTTAAAGGCGATCATTACAAAATTGCGTGGGACATGTTGTGTGAGCGGTATAACAACAATCGCCTTCTTGTGAATCATGTGCAAGCTTTATTTGATGTCGATCCTATAGTCAAGGAGTCAAGTATCTCAATCAGAAACCTCGTAGATACAATTAATAAAAATGTAAGGGAACTAACCAAATTAAACCAGCCCACTCAATATTGGGACACTTTATTAATATATGTCATGACTAAAAAATTTGATTTGACAACAAGTCGTGACTGGGAAGAGCATAGGAACAATATTATAAAAGATGATCCTACTTTGATGCAATTTTGTTCTTTTTTAAGTAGGAAAGCGGATTGGTTACAGTCTGTCTAGTCAAATATCAATTCTTCTCAGACTAATACTTTAAACTACTATAGCTTTAAATAATAGTCATACATATAAACATTCTAATTCTAAAGTCACTCAAGTTAATAAAAAATCAGATAATAATTTTAATAAGATAAATAAATGTCCACTTTGCTCCCAGGCTCATACATTATATAAATGTGAATCCTTTAAAAATTTAACTATAGAGGATCCCATAAAAAAGGCAAATGATTACAATGTTTTTCTTAACTGCCTGTGCGTCGGACATTCTGCTAAGCAGTGTAAACTCACATATTGCAAATATTGCAAAACAAAGCACAATACGCTTTTGCATTTAGAATCTAGTGAATCCAAATCATTTTCTAACCCATTACCTTCTGCTATGTCTTCTGCTTTTCCTTCTGCGTCAAATATCGCACTATCAGCCAATTCCTTGCAGCTTGCTACTTCAGCGCATGTTTTACTGTCCACAGCTATGGTGAACGTGACCAGCGGGTCGGGTAAGAAATACACTGCGCGGCTACTGCTGGACAACGGTAGTACCGCCAACTTTGTTACACAGAGACTATCAGAGAAACTGGGTTTGTTACATCGCGATACGAGCACCAATGTAACGGGTATTAATAATCACATATCCACCAGTACACAGTCTTGTCACCTCACAATTGAGTCTTTATGCTGTGCCTTTACTGTTGATATCGAGTGTCATATTTTACCTGAAATTACAAAGGTTCTACCGTCTTCATTCTTGCATATAAATCACGTCCATATTCCTTCAGGTCTTACACTAGCAGACCCGAACTTTAATGTTCCGTCGGTCGTAGACATCCTGGTAGGGGCTGAGGTGTTTTGGAATGTCTTAGGCAGCATAACTATAGATTTAGGGAAACATCTACCTAAATTGTGTGAAACTAAATTTGGTTGGCTTGTGTCCGGTAGTATTTCGCATCAACCTAGTTCTGTTTCATCACTCTATTGCCATCATTCCAACGTCACTCTAGACCTAACTCAATTTTGGGAGCTTGACAACGTGTCGTCAAAACATTCACTTTCTCTTGAAGAAAGAGTATGTGAACAACTATTTGCCCAAACCACCGTTCGTAAAAATGATGGTAAGTTTGTCGTGACGATGCCCTTAAAAGAGAACCCTAGCACTTTAAGGCATTCGTATGAAAACGCAAAAAATCGTTTTCTATCCCTGGAGCGGCGATTTAAGCGCGATCCTTCATTTAAAACTAAATATTGTGAATTTATGAGAGAATACGAGCATTTAGGTCATATGACTTTAGACTCTGATTGTACTTCTACGCATGAAAACTCCGTGATCACATAATTCATTCCACATCATGGAGTTATTCGTAGCTCTAGTAACACTACTCAACTACGCGTAGTATTCGACGCATCAGCCTCTACCAGTTCGGGCGTGTCTCTTAATGACATACAGATGGTCGGTCCCGTAGTGCAAGACGATCTATTTTCCATTTTAATATGTTTTCGTCAACATAGATACGTGGTCTCAGGTGATGTAGAGAAAATGTATAGAGCCATTGAGCTAAGTCCAGTCCAACGTCCTCTACAAAAAATTATTTTTCGGTTTGATCCTTCAGAACCTCTTAGAACCTATACATTAAATACGGTCACCTATGGTACCGCTTCTGCTCCTTACTTAGCCACGAAATGCCTGGTAGGTCTGGCTGATAACATTGAGGATAGTCAGGTCCAGTGGGCCATACGACGTGACTTCTACGTGGATGACTATTTGAGCGGGGGAAACACCATAGCTGAGACTGTAGCAATTGCAAAACGGGTACAATCGGTTCTATCTTCTGCTAAATTTAACTTACGCAAATGGCGATCAAACCATTCTCAAATTCTAAATCAAATTATAAACAGTAACGAATCGTATAATACTCATACGTTGTATTTTTATGAGTGTTGGGAACCGGTTGCATATACGCGCGGGTGGAGACGCGCGGAAGGACGACACGTCGACGTCTGGTCGGGCGGCAGCGACGCGGCGGCCACTCGCTTTACGATACTCCACCGCGGTCGGACGACAACACTAATTTTAACACGCTGCATTGGTCCTTTAGGATTCTCACCCTCTTACATAATACGGTCTTCGCCACGTCTCCGAGCTCTTAAGTGTGGTCTTCAGCTGCGAAATTATACTTCTGCACGGGCCTTCGTGAACCATCACATCCTGCTGAAGATCCTTCAAAGCAACTCGCACGCTCGTGAGCCGGGAACCATCTTGAATTCGACCGTGCCACGGACTTTGGACCCATCGAAAGTTCGAGTCATCGTCTCAACACAGGAAATCATCAACATAATCGACGATTACCACCTTGGTGAAAGATTTAGTCATTGGTGAGCCCGTTCCAATTATTCCTGTGATCTTTTCCTTCTTTTTCATATATTTAAATTTAAAATAGCCTTTATTTTTAGTGAGTGTTTTTGGTCATATATGCTTAAACACTATCTAACATCCTCCATAATAACACGTACTTACTTCTAAAATCAAAGTATTGCATAAGCCCAGCAACAGCATTGCGCTCGAATAACGGGACCTCGTTTACGCAAATCGCTCGCTTCTTATCTATATCTACCTGAGCCAGCCGGCCGGGTCGCCGCTTGCCCATCTGTTCCTTTG